GCATTGCTTTTTTAGATAATTTTGAATAGTATATTTAACTTCTCTACAATATAAGTACAAACCTTCTTGATAATGCTGAGTCTTTTCTTGCTTAATGAGGGAATTAAAATTTATGATATTAATTTACATTGATTTTGAAATTAGTAAATAAGTATTTGAAAACTTCAAAACTATTATCATTACTTGGCTTGTTCTTCTTCAACCAAGTCTTTTTTCTTGATGCCTTTCAAATAATCAATTGTTATATGCAATGCCTTGAGCAATAAATTGTTTGAAAGATTTTGCTTTTGATATTGTCCATAATAAATCTTTGATGTTATCTTGTAACTCATATCAAAATTGATTGATAAAGGCTTTATCATTTCAATCTACATTACAGGTGAAGTTTTGGAATTCAGTTGTATATATGATGGTTGATTGTGATTCTTGTTGTAAACATAAGAGCTTGGTTTCTATTATTCTTTTTTGATCACTTTCTCTAAATGTAGCCGTAAATACTTCTAAGAATGATATCAAATCATAAAGGAGTTGTGAATTCTTTTCTATTAAAGCTATAAACCAAGATAGAGTACTTCTAGATAAAAGTATGTCTATAAATCTAACTTGAGTAAATCCATCACAATATTCGTAGGGATGTAATTTTAGATAGAGCTTGACTTCTTATAAAAATCTTCAAAATTTTGATCTCATTCCATTAAACTTATTAGGCATATTACTCCATATCCTCACTGTAATTATAGAAGCAAAACTTCTTGAATTTAGTTGTGAAGTTGATCTACTTGCTATCTTTAATTGCACAACTTCTTGCCATAGATTATGAACTTTTTTTTATATATGTAGGATTAGTATATTCATGGTTGGTGCTTGTGATGTGTGAAATTTCCACTCTAAGAGTATTGACAAGTTCTTAAAGATGAGTAATAGTTATAAATCTATTTTCACTTCTGCCAAATATAACATTTATTATGTTTCTTTCTATTTCAAACAACTTTACAAATCCACAAGTTAAATTAGAAGAAGATAATCTGCAAGCTTAAATATCAAATGAAAATTTTTACAAAGAGGAAAAATTTTGCTCTTTTTAAGGAAGATATTAGTGTTAGAAAATTAAATAATTTATTTAAAGGTGGATAATCCATAATCTTTAAAATATAATAATAAAAGTAAGGTAATGTACTCACTTCTAAAACAAAACATGAACAATGAGTTAGCATTCTTGTCAAACCATTAAGGACATGAATCTCAAAAAAAAATACCTCAATATACTCTTGTCTCAATCAAAAAGACTAAAAAATCACTCAAAGATGGTACAATATTAAACTAGAATGGCTATCACCAAAGACAAGAAGATTAAAAAATCTTGAAATAAGACTAAAGACTAGAAAGGTGTTGACAAGAATGAAGAAGGCTTCATTCTTGTTTTTATGTATATTCTTAATTAGGAGTTACATGGTAGTATTCTATAAGATCTTCAAAACGTGTTGATTTTGCAAGACACATATCTTAACTTGTAAGGTAAGTTTTTTATATGTGTGCTACATACTTAGCTTGTCCTAGAAGCTATCTACACATGGTTAACTTATTGACCAAGTTTCTAACCTACTAATCAATTACAAATACTTATAAAGTCAAAACATCTATATAGCTTCTAAGAAGCTTTTTTAGAAAATATTATGAAATAAATCTATTTTTACTGACTTTTATTTAATCATATAGATAAATATTGAAGTAATTATGTATGTATATGATAAGAATATCCAAAGTGTAAGTAAGAGTAATTAATCCTTGGCATAGGATACCATCATTGTTAGTGACATGCCAAAGGTTCCTAAGACCATATATGTAAAAGTTATAGATTGGAAGTTGTCTTTTAGGGCAACAACCACCACTTATAAGTATTGGGTGTTGGAAGTCAGAAATATCTTACTTCATATTCTCTTTATGTGCAACCTTGCTGATGCTAAATACTATATACTATATATACTATATACTAAATATTATATCTTCAAAGTCTTTTTGGTTCAATATATATAATTATGCCACATGATTCTTAAGCCCTGACTTTGTATTTGCCATTCTAAGTCTACAAATGAGTATTTACATAAATATTAACGAATAGGTTGCAGGAGGTATTTTCTGAGATTATGAGCACCAAACTCCAACACACTTGCTCAGCATCATGTGTAGCCGAAGCTTACCAACTTCATGGGATTTCAGCTTTGCTTACTTGATTAGATGCTTTGTTTGTATTAACAGCTGTAATTGCGCTTCCCCGAGGACATGTTTCGATTCTCACCACATCGACTATAACTCAATGACCACCACCTCCCTCCGAATGGAACCCAAAGTTGGCAGCATCAGGCTTTGGCTCGAGACTACCTGGAATTCTACCCCAAGCTGAGTTCCTGCTTTAGTGCGTATTATTACGGTTAGATGCAGTGTGGGGTGGATACATTGTGGCTCGAATGGCACCAATAGCGACAGCCCGGTACTAAACTTAGATTTCTGCTCGCATTTCAGACCTGATTGGGTTGAAACTATCTGGCGGCTTGAGAATTGCAGGTGCCAGCGTCATCGTCAGTTTTGGCTTGTGAACTGCGCTGCCAGATCGGAGACTCTCGTGCTGTTTCTTCAGCCGTTGTCTCGAGGAATCTACAATATTCTGCATTCCGCGGAGTTAGTTTTTAGTTCATGCCCAGGGATCTAGTGTTTCTAGGCTAGTAACGGGAATAGTAAGCTTCTGACGAGGACTTTCAGATTTGATGCGGGGAAAATCTCGGTTGCAAATGCACAGTCGGAATACAACTGAGGAAGGGCTTATATGTCACGACGGGTCGTGTCTGGGTCATTCCTTTCGAATTAGAAACAACGAACCGTAATGGAAATAGCAAGTAGTCCACGTGGGAGGTACAATTCAAGTCCTGCGTTTTGCACGTTGAAAACGTACGATCGTCTGGAAAAATCGAGTGCCAGTTGCCAAATGGAAGTCAGGTGACTTCGTACGGATGTGGTGGGCGTGTCGGTATTGGCCTCGATCAATCAGCGCCTGCGGATGGAAATACAAGACCTGTCGTTTTGCATGACGTAGCTCGAAACCCTGAAATTAAGTTTTGGCATTATCCCGACACCAAACTCTAGACCTTTATTCCACAGTTATATTTTTTTTAATGGAATTCATCGCTAATCATCAAACCTGGCTGACTACTTGCCATTAGTTGAAAACCACAACATATTCGCAACAGCAACCAGTCCGCAGTTCCCAGAACGAATTGCACCCTCCTTGACGGGAATACGACAGCCCCAGAGCAAAATGGCAACCATTGAAGAGAATCGAACAAGCTGACTCACTATCTACTAATCAAACTCAATTTTCGGAATATTCAACACCAACCAGTCCCCTAGTTATACAGCGAATCACATCTGGGGTCGCAGCGCTGCGAGGAGGTAGTAAAAATCAAAGCACCCGTTTGAACAACCCAAGTCTGGAGCAGTTGTGGATACATCCGCTGCATGCGTTCTCCAATTGCCCAAACTACCGAACAGCATCTTCCAAGCTTCTGTTGCCAGGACAGCTGCAGGTACAGGAAAAAGTTTGGTACAACGCATTTACGACCACCAGTTTGCGGAATTTTTCTACCTACTCCGCGGGTGCGTCAGTGACACGTTGGGGGCGACCACGGGAGGATGCTATTCCCTCGCAGCAACTCGGCGTCCGTGACGATTCATCATTTTCCTGCAGTATGGAATGTTGACGCATTTCTGGAAATGATTGGTGGAGAAGAATCTGCAACGGAGCACAAAAGGCGTCCTCAACGGGCCCAAGCTTTTGCAGGAAGAATAATAACGCTCCGCCGCATCTCCATGGTTAGCTCGCAGTTCGATCGTGTATACCACACCTGAAATTTCCCCTCTCCTTCCCAAAAGAAGGATTCATCGAGGAATACGAAGACGAGGGATCTGCACTAGAAGCTTCGAACGAATCGTTGCTTCGGTAAAACCTGAATGAAATGGCCACTTCCATATCATCCTGAAGATTGCGAGAGAATGAGTATGTGTGCGTGTGTGTAATAATTCATATAAAAATTAGTTTTGTTTAACCAACATGGGGAGAGGCGTGTTGTAGGATGAATTTTGTTTGACAAAGTGTACTGTGTACGATTTTGTTGTTGGATGTTGGAATTTGGTTTGTCAAAGTGTTTATCCTCTTGAGGTAAATTTGAAATTTGTCAAAGTGTTTAATCTCTTTTTCTTGAAATCTTGAAGAAGTTTCTTACATGCAGTTTGGATCTTTGTGTCTTTTGGAAACTTTGTGTAAAAATTTGTTGCATTGAAAAAAAACACTTAAGAAACATTCTACAACATGGATTTTTTGCCCGCAAGGCTTTTGTCTACAAAAAATTGTATATGAAATAAAAATGATGAAGATATATCATAATGAGATAATCATAGCTTTTTACATGGTTAATAATCACATGAATATTCTTTTATAATTCATGTACAATTTACATTCACAATTATTATTAACACTTGTAATATATTTAAGTTTAGAACAAAATTAATTTATTATATTTTAAAAAAAAGGTATAAATATAAAACTCCTATAATTATGGTCATTCAATGACCAAAATATATAATTACGGCCATTTTGTGCTTATTTGTTATACAAGCATTACATATCAAGGTCCAAACACAAGTAAAACATAGCAACCCAAAGGAAAGGGGGGAAAAAAAAATAAAAAAAAAATAAAAACGTAAATGCAAATGAGAGCAAAAATCCAACGCATCTTAAACTCATCAATAAAAACCAACAAAAAAACGTATTGATCTAACTAAAAGTACCTAAATTCAACCCCCCCCCTCCCACACACAGTTCAGTTTCTGTGGAATAGAAAAGGCACCCAAAAGCGTGAAGAGGCACCCAAGGGCGTGGATTTCAATGCAAGAGGGGAACTCACCAACTCCCCCGCGGGGCGACGCCGCCATACCTACTCCATATGGAAGGTAGGCTGGCGGGTAGGCTGAGAGAGAGCGAGCGGGAGAGAGAGAGGCATTGATGAGGATGATGCGGGATTCACCTGGTTTGATAGATACCAACAACATGCTTCGGATGAGAAAACCAGGTGTTGCGATGACAGCAGCTTGGCCTGGAATCGGTGGCAGGTGGATGGATTAACAGAGTTCTCTTCTTGGTGCTTGCCAGTCCCATGGCTCTTTGGGCCATCAAAGTGGTGTTGCCTGCAAAGGTGTACGTCAATTCCTCGACCTGCTTCCGTCTCGTCTCTACCGCATCGCTCACTCCCTCGCCACCTCAAGAGTAGTGCTATCACACTGCCCCCTTGCAGAGGATCTGACTGTGTGTGCGCACGCGTGTGTCTCTGTGTGTGTACGTTTGGTGGTGACTTGGAGGGGGGGGGGGGGGGCTTGGATTGTGACAATTGCCGAGGATTCGAGTGGCGGCGTTAAGGCAAGGGGATGATGGAATCGTCGACTGATAGCTACAGCAAGTCCGTGGATGAAGTGAGTCAGTTGCTTGGGACGAATCCTGACTTGGGGCTTTTGGACGCGAACGCAGCGGAATTGTTGAAACATGGTCGCAACGAGCTCAAGGGACAAGGGGGAGTAAACCCATGGAAGATTTTGTTGGGGCAAGTCGCCAATGGGCTGACGGCCGTGCTGGGAATTGCCATGGTGGTGTCGTTCGCAGTGAGAGACTACGCTGAGGGAGGTGTGCTCGTGCTGGTGATTGCGTTCAATACCACGGTGGGGTTCTTCCAGGAGTACCGCGCGGAGAAAACCATGGATGCGTTGCGGAAGATGGCGTCGCCATCCGCGAGGGTCATTCGAGAGGGTGGCCAACACCGGATCTCCAGTGGGGAAGTGGTTCCCGGGGATATACTGATTGTCGAGGTCGGTGACATCGTTCCTGCAGATTGTCGACTGGTGGAGGTTCTGAATCTCGAAATCGACGAGGCATTGCTTACTGGAGAAGCAGTTCCGTCTTTGAAGACCGTGGAACCGATTGCGGGCAAGGATGTCTCCATTGGTGATCGCACCAACATGATGTACTCCAGTACCACGGTGGTGAAAGGGAGAGGGCGCGGGATAGTCGTCTCCACGGGGATGTCCACCGAAATTGGGAAGATTTCCTCTGCTATCAACGAGACAGCCACGACGTCGACTCCCATGCAGAAAAAGCTCAACCTGATGGCGTACGTGCTGCTGGGAGTCGCGCTCATTTTCGCACTGATTGTGTTCGCTGTGAACAGGTTTCAGTTCGACACGGAGATTGTCATCTACGCTATTGCCCTGTCGATTGCCGTCATCCCTGAGGGGTTGATTGCAGTCATGACAATTGTGCAAGCTCTGGGCGTCCGACGGATGGCGAAGCAGCACGCATTGGTGCGAAAGCTGGTTGCTTTGGAATCCCTACAAGCCGTGACTAACATCTGCTCGGACAAGACTGGCACATTAACGCAAGGAAAGATGGTGGTCACGAATATTTGGCTTCCGGAGCAGAACACCGAGTACGTCGTCGGAGGTCAGGGGTATGAGACTGTAGGGGAGCTCTCTGCGCCAGAGGGTAGGCCTATCGACAGAGAGGTGGCGCTGAAGGATATGAATTTCAGAACGCTTGTAGAGTGCTGCGCATTGTGCAACACGGCGAACATAGTAGAGGCTTCGGAGGGGAAAGTGTGGGGAGATCCTACTGAGATTGCTCTCCAAGTTTTCGCGTACAAAATGCAGATGGGGAAGCCCATGCTGCGGAAGCTCAAGGAACCAATTGAAGAGTTTCCCTTCAGCTCCGACACCAAGCGGATGAGCATGGTGTGCCAGGGCCCATCGAAAGAGGTGCAAGATGTCTACACCAAAGGCGCTGAAGTTGTGTTGTCAATTTGTGACAATGTGATGGACCGGACGGGAGACCTGAGGGAGATTTCTGAGAATGACGAATTGATGAATCTTGTGTCAGTGCAGCAAGAGGAGATGGCGAAACAAGGACTGAGGGTTTTGGTGATAGCATACAGACAAACCTCTGAGCGAGCCTTGGGCAAACCAGTCTCCAGGTGGGAGCGCGAGGAAGTGGAGAGAAACTTGACTTTCCTGGGGTTGGTAGGGATTAGGGATACTCCTCGATTTGAGTCCGAGGTATCCGTGCGCCAGTGTCACCAAGCCGGAATTACGGTGCACATGCTCACGGGAGATCACAAAGCCACAGCTCTGTCCATTGCCAAGGACGTGGGCATCTTGGAGCCACTGTCTGCATCTCGAAGATCTGCTTCGAAGCGGCTGAACAAGAAACGTGACTCCCATGTGGTGCCTATGTCCTCACTCGTCATGACTGCAACGGAGTTCGACGCGTTGTCGGAGCAGGAAGTAGACGCACTAGATGAGCTTCCCCTGGTGATTGCGAGATGCACGCCCTCTACGAAGGTGAGAATGATCGACGCGCTGCACAGGAGGAAGAAGTTTGCAGCCATGACGGGCGACGGAGTAAATGATGCGCCGAGTTTGAAGAAATCTGACGTAGGGATAGCCATGGGAGCTGGTAGCGACGTGGCCAAGACGAGCAGCGACATTGTGCTCACAGACAACAACTTCGCAACAATCGTGCAAGCCGTCGCGGAAGGTCGACGAATTTTCTCCAACATCAAGAAGTTTGTCTTGCATTTGTTGAGCACCAACGTTGGTCAGGTCATTGTGCTTCTCGTTGGGCTGGCATTTAAGGACGTCTCTGGTACACCCGTGTTTCCTCTCTCTCCTGTGCAGATCCTTTTCCTGAATCTCGTCACGGGCACACCACCAGCCATGGCCTTGGGAATTGAGGCAGCCTCCTCTACAGTCATGCAAGTTCCGCCCCACTTGAAAGGGCTCTTCACGATAGAGCTCATTGCGGACATTATAATCTACGGTACCTTCATCGGCATCCTCGCCCTCACAAACTGGGTGCTCGTCATCTACGCATTCGGCAATGGCAATCTCGCCACTCAGTGCAACAAGGCATCCAACCTAGGACCATGCGACACCGTCTTCCGCGCTCGGTCCGCCGTGCAAATGGCCTTCACATGGATGATCCTCTTCCACGCTTTCAACTGCCGACACCTGCGTGCGAGTCTGTTCACAACCGAAGGAGGCGGCCGCTCCCGCTTCTTTAGCAACAAGCTGATGTTGGAAGCGGTGTTCATTGGCGCTGTGATGCCAATTCCCACCTTGTACATCCCGTATCTGAACACCGACATCTTCAAGCAGGGAGGCTTGACGTGGGAGTGGGTTCTCGTTGCCGCCTCCGTGGTAGTGTTCTTCTTGCTGTCTGAGTTCTACAAGCTGCTCAAGAGGCGCTTCATCACCACCCCTTACAACATGTAGACTACGATCCAACTCTAAACTGTTATTTCAAGCTTTACGTCATAGTCCTGATCGGTTGTCTTGCTGCCAAAGGGAGCCAATCCTTCCGGTGGCGCTGTACATAACAAGGAATCGACCGCAGTGAGGTGAGAGCTTTCTACCAGGCATTAGCTGATCGGATTTTTTGCAGATCATAGCGTTGTTCGAAATAATCGGAAGCTTTTTTGTTATTCTTTTCTGAGATCTGGGTGGTGGAGCCAAGACATGAACGTGACTGGCATGCCACTAATGGTAAGGTCGACGACGCTGCTGATCACGAAACGGTGAAGATTGTTATAACGCAGGTGTTGGGAGCTTGAAAATGAACTGTAATGAACAGTTGTACTAGTATTTTGCAAAAATAATATAGAACACCACTTCTTCCGATTCCTCTGCAACCTGGCTCTTCCCGGAGAGCTGCTTCGTTGCACCATCGACATCAAACTCTGCCTAATTGTTCATTTCTCTGTCTGTTTGGTTTAGTTTGACAGCAATCAATGTCGAAAACCAATCAACATATCGCAGCAGAGTTAGCTTTTCATTAGTTGCATGAACATGAAAACTAGTTGTAAAAACAGATTTTGATTTTAATATGAGTTCGACGAGGGTGAAAAATCTGTCATTTTCAGTTGCAGTGTGCGTCTCAGAAATAGAATGATATCGCATTTTGGGTTCCTATATCATGTAGTGTTTGAGTTAATATCCACTTAGGTGATGGACAAAAAGCTAGCATGCTGGAAAGATGAAAAACATCATCTGATTGTTGTATCTATTCTAATATCTTGAAAACATTAGCTTGCATTATTTTAAGGTTTTTGTTGCTGTTTACCTGAGTTTTGGTGTATATGATGTTTTCTTGTGGTTTTGGAAATGGAGCCATCTCTGGATGTTTTTATTGAGGGTCTCAAGAACTCTGTTAAATTGTAGTTTAAAAAACCAAAAACCAAAATTGTCCAAATATATGTATGTGTCTAGAATATTTTGGTTTCATTGTTCTACTAACAATAAGCTTACAGTAACAATGTTATCAATCAATGATGATGAATCACAAATTTGTTTTAAGATTAGTAGGTAAATATTTACACTTAGCCTTATTATTGTATTATCACAATTAATCAATGTGAAATCTTGCCTCAAATTCTTTTGTGTACCTTCAACAAATCAAACCTATTCAAAGAATTAAATTATGTACAATTATCTACCTACAAAATAACCAAACATTAATTTAAAGGACAAACTTTAGATGCATTAAATACAAAGTTTGAAAGATTCTTAATTTTTTAAGTTAATTTGAGTAGATTTCAGCAATAATATTACTCAATCAATATCATAAAATAATGAAATAATCAATCTAAAAACTTATTGTATGTATGTATTTTTTTAAAAAAATATTATAAAATACATCAAAAAGAGGTATAAATCAATGGGATAAACCAAGGAGACAATTTGATCTTCTAATTGGCTGGATTTTTCAATCATTATTGTGTTCAATAAAACTTGACATAATTTGTTAATTCACAAGGTCTTAACAAAACTAATCTTAGAGCTTAAAATTATTGCATGTCTTGCATGAACATAAGCGCCTCAAACTTCTTTGGCATAATGAATGATCAATTGGAGTAAGGTGTAATAGATGGTTTAAAGATGTCCATCTTGATCTTTTCCTTCAACAAATCCACCAACTTAAGAAACAAAGTCTTAAGCACCGGTGTCGTAATACGTGAAGTCTTGCTTGAGAATGCTCCGGGCACCTACTTGTGGAAGGTAGAATGGAAATTACAACAACAAAATCCTAACTCTAATAGAATACTAACTAAACTCTAATTAGACGATAACAATGCTAAGCAAGCTTTAACCAAATTCAAAGAAACATCAAAGGAATTACAAAGAAAGAATAAGAAATCTTAAAGAAATATTGGAATGATCACAAATATATCTCAAATACATCTCAATTCAATCTTAATTTAATCCTAATTAAAATCCTATTGGACTTCATTCAAATTTTAGGCCAAAAACTAACTAAATCTTAAATCCTAAATAAATCTTAATAAAATCCTAAATCTTAAACCAAATCCTAATCAAACCCTAAATCAAACCCTAATCAAATCCTAAATCCTAAATCAAATCCTAATAATTGCTACAATAGATTTAAATCTCAATTACTAATGAATGAACCGTTGATTTTAAATCAAAATTTTTATACTTCTTAAAACTTAAGTTGACAACAAGAACAAAAAATTAAAAAAAGATCGAAATTACCAAATAGACAATAGCCTCAAAAGCGTATTTGGATATTGGCCGGCCTCCTTCTCCAACCTTATTGCCAATCTCCCAGAGCCAATATCTCTTCTTTTCACTATTCGATTGATCTCAAAATTCTTATATACATAGGAAAATAAGTCTAATATCCTCACACACAAATTTCACTCCAATCCAACTAGTAGATTGCAAGAAATCTTAAAAATCCTCACTAGACCTAAAATTCTACTTTCTGAGACCTTGATTCACTTAAACCTCAATAACCCTCAATTCAATTGTTAGATCAAGCTAAGATTCACAATACATATTGAGCACAACTATGACCATCAATCCATAAAATTTCATTCATAGAACTATTACAAAACTCTTGAAATTATCCAAAATGTCAATCCTATTAAATTTCATAAAATCCAGGTCATGTGAAAATAAACTTGACTTTGTAAAGCTCTTACAAAGTCATTAAAAATCCATATCGACCAAATCTAATACTTATAAAAATCCTATCTAGTTTTCTATCAAATTCCACTCTCCAATCTGCAAAAAAATCTCCAAATTACTGTAGGTGCTAGAATTTACTTTCAACTTCCTCTTAAAGATATTTATATCATTTATTTTTCCAATCTTCCTTATTTTGCCTTATTTATGGTCCTTTAAAGTAAATAGAAGTCACTTTTATAAAAAGGTATTACTACTACTAAAAATTTTACTACCTTCCTATCTTTTATCCATATTTTTCTACTTTATCTTTTAACTTTGCTATTCTATAATAAGATCCATATTATCATCTTTCCCCATATAGTCGTATTACAACACGACATCTACTGCCTCTGAACTTGTACATCCTTTGGTATGCACCAAATAATCAAACTTTGTTTGATTCATACAATATTTTCAATGTCCTCATCTAATTCTTCTTCTTCATATTTGCTATTCAAATCAAAATCATCTTATTGTCTTGAAAGATTTATGTCTTCGACAAAGTTTCTATATTTATCATTAAGTGATGATGTTATTAGTGGATTGAGATTTGTTATAAAGTCTTTATTTATGAGAAGGTATGAAGAGGTATACGAGGAGTATAATAGTGGGAACTAGGCTATGATTAAGAAGTATAATGCTAATATAGCTGATTATGGTATAATGACATTTATGTTTGAAGTTATTTATGATAGACCTCAAGATACTAATAGAGGTTATATGTTTGTATCAACATATACAAAATACCTTAAGATAATAGACTATCTTAAGCTTTATAGATCATGTGATTGTTTCTTTGGCTGTATTCATTATAGTATTAATATTAAAGATAGATTTGATGTTGAGTTTTTGACAAGGAGAATGAGAATTGGTATTGGATATAAGATACTTATAAGGTCTATAAGAAGATTTGAGAGAGAAACAAGTGTGAAGGTAATTGTATTTAAAGATAGTATACGTGATAGTAAGCCTATAGAACTTTATAATAGTCTTTTAGTTTCTGAATATGAAACTAGACTTGTCTTGCATAATTCCCACTATTATATTTATGATGGTCTTATATCCAATATTTGTAATGATCATAATATGATAGATGATGACAAGTTTGTAAGAAGTAATTATGAGGGTTTTATGTTCTATGATATGAAAATATACATAGATTCTTTAACATCTAATATAATTCCATATATGATGTCATATTTTATTTGTAATGATGATGGTACAAGCTTGTTGATTAATTTAAATATTTGGGAGACTGTAGAAGATCTAATATATTCTAGTGCAAGTTCTAGAAGTTTGATCTCACAATCATCATCTAATACTTCAAGTTCGATCTCCTAATGAGTATGTACTTTAGATTTGATCTTTATTGAATTGATCTTGAACTTATCATAGCTTATTGTACTTCTTTCTTTATTTCTTTTAATTCTTAGTGCCATTCCTTCTTCCTTGTAATATCTTCGCTCAATGGAACAATGAAAATAACTACAAGTGTTACTACATTAGGATCCATACAACCAATTTTTTTGGGTGCAAAGACAAGAGCTTTATCATATTTGAAGAGCATTTCTAGAAACTTCTCTTTCTCTACCTCAGTTAAAAAGTCACACCTTTCAATCTTCAACTTGCTTAAAGACTCTTTAGTAAACTTGTGATCATTCCTTTTTAACTCCTTCAATCTAAGCTTAATGGTAGCTTGTTTGATGTGCTCATTGGTTTCTTGAGGCAATTGAGTTGCTACAGGCTTTACCTTATTAGTCATAGTTTTGTACATGATATGTACCATAGTCTGTTGCAATATCATACAACTATGTCATAGATATATATCTACTGTAATTATTACCTATGTAATATAAATATGTAGAAGTAGGTTAAAATAGATTAATTTCATATATCTTCTAGAGTAGCTTTTGAGAAGCCTTTTAGATATTATTTTGACTTTAAAAAAATCCTAACCAAATCCTAACCAAAACCTAAACAAACCTTAACTAAATCCTAATTGATCCCTAAACATACTCCAACCAAACTCTAAATAATTCCAAGTAATTCCTATAGCAAATTTAAATCTCATTAACTAATGAATGAACTGTCGATTTTAATTCAAATTTTTCACACTTCTTAACAATTAAGTTGAAAATAAGTACAATTTTTTTGAAGAAGATTGAACGCACCCAAAAGAAGATCAATCCTAAAATCTGCTTGGATGTTGGCTAGCCTCCTTCTCAAATCTGAATGTTGAATTTCTAGCACCAATATTTCCTTATTGAACCATTCAATTGATCTCAAAATTCTCATATATATAAGAAAACAAGTTTATTATCTACAAACACAACTTTCACTCCAATTTAATCAATAGATTGCAAGAAAACTTAGAAATTCTTATTAGACTTATAACTCTACATTTTTGAGATCCCGACCCACTTAAACTTCAATAATCCTTAATCCAACCCTTCAATCATGCTCAAACTCACAAAATATATTGAACACATATATACCCTCAAATTTTCAAAATTTCACCTATATGTACTGCCAAACTTATGGAATTCTCCAAAAAATATCTCCCATTTTACTTCACAAATCTAGAGTCACCCAAAACAAACCCTAACTTTGTAAAGCTCTTACTAAGTCAATAAAAATCTAAATCACCCAAAATCAATGCTTATTAAAATCCTATCAAGTTTGCTCTGTAATTCCACTCTTTTATCTACCAAAAAATCCCAAAATCTTCGTTGAGGCTTGGTTTTGTGCCTTGGGGTCTGATTTCAACCTTGGTTCATAATCGGCCCTCTTTGGATATCAATATCTAGTTTTTTTAGATAATTTTTGCTGAAAACTACTCTTAATTTCTTTCCAAAGGTACTTATATTGTTTATTGTTCTAATCTACCATATTTTGCTCTATTTGTGGTCCTACAAAGTGAATAGAAGTCTATTTTGTAAAAAAGGCAATATTAGCACCTTTAATTTTTCTATCCCTTGTCTATTATCTATTTTTCCAAGATAATTTTTTATAATATATTTGAAATAACATCTTCAAACATATGATATTTTCTTCACCTTTTCACCTACTAGCTA